CACCCACCCCCCCGCTAATGCCCTCTGGAGACAGGTCCAGGTCGTCCAGCTTCACCTCCGTGGCCTCCACCTTTTCAGCCTTTATGTCCACCAGCAGGTCGTGGACCTCCACCCTCACCCCCGGGCCGGCGCTCTGCTCGCCTGGCGTCAGAGCCTCGCCATTCGGCCGCTTCACAGCGCCGTCAGCGAGGAGGTTGCGCGAGTCTCCGCCGGCTCCCTCGCCRTACTCGGCTTCGCTCTCGGGAGTCTGCGTCTGAGAGTTGTCATCGATCTCCAGGCTGCCGTTGACCACGGAGGCCGGCGCGGCCGAGAGGCCAGATATCGTAGAGACGGAACCTTTCTTTCCCTTCTTCATGTTTTCCTCCTCCTGACGCTGATACTCTTCATACATCTTAGCCAAGTACTCCTTGTGGGCTTCATAGGTCACCTGAGACAGATGGTCGGGATGTAATTGGTAATGTGATCAGAACACGTGCACTGACAAAAGTTCCCCTTCACATCAATAACCACCAGGTACTTCCTAAGGGGGCTCATAGATTATCATGCTAAAGAATGCATGAATAAAACTGGGCCTGTAGCCCTCCAGAGCTATCAGACCTTCATCCATAATGTCTCCTCACTTTAACAAGAATTTATAAGCAGTGAAAACAGAAGTGATCTTTTAATAAATAAAACATCTGTGATGAATTACTTTTGGTCTTATGCAACTATTCATGCCCCATATGCATTATTTTTTAGTTAAAAGAGTAAAACTTTAAATGCCAGATCAACAAAGGAGTACCTTAGAGTGTGCAATGGACAGGGTGTCGACCCAGACCCTCCACCCTCCCCACTCRTATTTGATGGCGTGGTAGAGGAGGATCCTGAAGATGTTGTACACCATCTCGGTTATTTTCTGCTCCTCCGGGTTCTTGGGGTTGATGTATCCAAGAGAAAACATCCAGTCYTGCCACACGGAGCACTGCAACAAGCAGCTGGTACGCAAAGCACAGACGGTTGATGTTAGCTACTGTAGCACACCCTTCATCTCAGTTATAGTAATTACGGTAAGTGGGGACAGGATAYCCATATCTGGCCCGAAACCAGCAGTTTTACAAGAACTCACACAAAATGCCTCAATACTGGGAACTGATACCTATATCAGTATCGATACTCAATTGAATTTACATTTCAAGTGAGAAGTCTGTCAGTTCCATGTTTAATAAAGTTATATACTGTAAGTTCAAAGGAAATCTTATTTATTGTTTTTATTTTTCACAACAGTATTTATCATGCTGTATATTTGATWTGATACAATCAGAGGGACTGTAGGGAAAGCCGCCTTGTTATAAATAAAAGAAACATAGTTTTAAAGTCATTGGGCTTCATGCAAGAACCGTTCGTACGCACAGATTTGTTCTTAAGTTGTGCGTATGAGCGATTTAGGAGAATTTATGGCATTCATAAATTTTCTCGTATTCTAAGTTTTTTTAAATTCACGAGTGGTCCAGACCTGTCATATATTTTACGAGCAGTCAGTCTGCTGTTATCC